TGTTGCCGTGCTCTAATTTTACATACCTGTCCGCCGCATGCCTGCCTTGCCTTCGTCCCTCTCTCTCAGTACGCGCACTGCTTGTCTTTTAATCTTAAATTGGATTAGCTGTTTATGATCCCAGTGCTGTTACAGTTGGTGAAGGCAATACAAAACTGCTCATGTTTTTTTCTTGTTTGTTTTCCTCGCTTAGCATGACAAATGACTTTTTTTTTCTTCTACTGAGTAGCACTGTGGTCTGTTTCTGGTTACTAAATACCTTCAGAATATTTCTTTCAAGTGTTTTTGGTGCATCTCAGTTCCAGAGTACTTATTTAAGGAGAAGGTCTCTGTTTTGGTGTCTTGGTATCGTTTTTCAGACATTTTCATTTACGGTCCCTGAACTTATATAATTTCTCTAAATCCTGTTTTATGGGGGGTTGAGCTCCTTCTTTGTTTCCCTTCTTTTTCTTACTTTTTTTTTCTCAGTATCTTGATCAAGTCCTATTATTTTCTTGCATGCGTTTGTCCTCTTCAGTCTCTTTCCACCCTCTAACCCAAATAATGCGTTATAAGTATCTGACCCAAAAATTTTTGCACTCTCAGTTCTTCACAGATGATTTTAGCTTCAGAACTGCTTTTCCGTGAGATTATACAATAAAGACTTGAGCTTGTGTCTTAAATGGTAATTGTACTTCACAGAGTTTTTCATATAAATTAGCATCCAGTATCGAATAAGGGTTTTTTAGGAGATTATATAGAATTATGAAACACTACTGTGATCTTTTTCACTTCACGTTTAAAGTGCATATACTACTTCAATGCATTAAATTGCTACATGTATTTGAGTAGTTGGTAACATTTTTTCAGAATTTGGGCAAAAATTTTGGAGAGCAGTACTTCTAAATTATAATTTTAGCCATTGGATTTTTGTGTTGCTCTTACACCATGAGCTAAAGACACTTAATGTCAGCTATTTCCCCAAATGCATATTTACAGCTTGCCCTAAATATCGTCTTGTATCAGTAATTTCCAGTGTGAGATGTGCGTTTGTTAAAATGATTTTGAAAATTTCCTTAAGTGAAATTAAACATATCATCAAAATTGCATTTTTTGGTTGTAAGCAGAAATTATGCTTAATGCTTTATCTCAGATAAAAATACGAGAATCACAACTCTTAAGCAAAGTTTCTCTATCAGCTGGTGTGTGCGTGTGTGTGTTTTATATAAATCCAACTTAAATCTTTCCTTCAGTTTGTCAAGGATTATAACAATGTAGGTTTCTAAGCATTTTTGGGTAATACATCTATTTCCCACTATTCTGACAAGAATGTAAGCTCCACAGCTATGCCTGCTGAGATTTGTAGGGTGTAAAAACATATAATGCTTTATGGCAATATTATGTAAACTGTCCGAAAGTCATTATTTTTCAGGGGAAAAAAAAAAAAAAAACACAAACAATCTCTAGTTTTGTATTAAAAATTGTAGTTTCAACAGTTATTTTGGTTGAATAGAAATCTGTTTTTTCTAGTCTGATTTTGCTTTTGATTTGCAGCATATTTATACTTAAGCAATTGTAAATGGGAATGTGACTTGATTTTTACACAGACAGGAGTAATTTATGTCTGTAAAAGACAGCAGAGACCGGCTGTTTAAAAAGAACAGTTATGCTATGACATGGGTTTTGACCGAGGGCTATCTGAAGCTGCGTTTTTGCTTCCAGTTCTTCATTCTGGTTCAAAGGCACTTGTTCACATACTGTTCTTCTTTCCCAGTAGGCATTGTTAACTTATTTAATGATACATAATTCTGAAATCATACCTCTTTGGGATTTTTTTCTTTATGTACATGTTGCTATCTGAATTTATAGGTCTCTGTCTTTTCATTCACTCTATTGTTAGTGATTTTGGAGTAGAGATCTTGGGATGTGAGTCACAGATGTTTCATTAGGTGGGAATCTTTGAAGCACACACTTTCAAGGAAAAATCTCTTAAAATACATCTCCATATAGGTTGAGATGCAGTTACTTAGAAGCCTGGAAGTGCCCTTTTCTGACTTTACAACACGGAGTTTTATTATCTTGTTCCATCTTTATCTGTGCTCTTCTCTTGTTTCATGGTCTTTTTTCCTGCTTTCTTTAACAGAGCTTCTAAGCTGTAGCTGAAGTTGCTTTAAGATGTTACTTCTTTCTGTACTTTTGACTATTCAGTTTTCCTATATATCTTGTAGAGAGTTTGAAGAGCTTTATGCACTATCAGTGCTTACTGCTGCCTGGTTCCATTTATTTAGGATGGAACAAATGGTGTTTGGTTTTCCTGCACTGGACTGGGTACAGTTGATGCAGAAAGCACAGAGGCCCAACGCCGAGGCAGAGTCCACGCTTGATACTGGAATAAGGGAACTGCAATGGAAAAAGTATATTCTCCTAGTCCCAGGGTAAGTTTGATTCTGAATATTGGTGTGCTTCTTAACATTATGTTGCTACATCAGCTCTTCACAGATAGGATTCTTACGTGTATTTTGTGGTGATTGTAAATAAAAAAACAGTCTTAGCATGATGGTTGTGTAGAAGAAACACTTATGAAGTGATCACCAAGTGTTCATTCTTATATTGTAAAGTCACCCACAAGAAAACGGCAGTTCCAGCGTTTCAGGAAATACTTAGTGTCCTTCAGTAGAGCACAGTCCTGGTTAACAGGCTCTAAACTTGACCCAGTTTATTTCTTCTGTTTATGCCCATGTATTATTCATGCTTGCTGCCTTTTTTTTTTTTTTTCCCCGTAAGCTTTCCAAATAAATGATTCAGTTGGCTTTCTTTCTGTAAAGATCAATGCCAGTATTCATACCTTGTGGATAATTCCACAATAACCAAGCATGTAAATAATCTGGAAGAAGCACATTCTATTTTCTGGATCTTATAATCAACGTGTTTAAAATTGTAAACTGTTATGTTGCTACTTTGCTAGAAGTGCTGATTTTTAACAGAAGTCTAATATACTCATAAAAAGCCTATTCAGAATAAAAATTCAGCTGAGAGAACTGTATGAAGAAGGATTGTAAAGATTTAATGTATTGCACAGAAATAGCAACCTCTTGGGAGGGATCCATTTTTATATCAGATGTGGGCATGGAGACTGTGGTCTTCCTGGGACTTCCCAAACCGACAGGAGAGTGTAATAGTTGGGACAGTTAGGATTGTTGCTGTCCTTCAAAGACTGCTTTTCAGTGTGTTTCATGGGATGAAGCCAGGGAATTTTATTCCTCATTTATGTGAGGACTTTTATTTCAGAAGTGTTCTTTTTAATGTTGCCACAGAAATGAGTATTCTGTCTTTATAATCCAGATATCCCACAGTTGCTTCTTGGGAGTTGGGTGGAAGTGTCCTTTAAGATCTTGAATTATTTTTGGAATTCCTTTTGCAGTGTCAAGCAGTTACTTAAGGAGAGTAAGTACTCCCAAGAAATTGTCTTGAACAAGAGGGCTTCATAACAACTGGAGAACAAAATCCTTTAAACATATTTATAAAGTCATTATTAATGCTAACAGCAGTGCTATTGTTTTCAGATTACAGTGGTCAACTTTGGAAAAGCAGAATGACTGGCATTAGTTAATTTTCTTACTTTCTGCAAAAAGAGCTGTTGTGAAGGTAATGTGGCAGACAATAGCCAGTTCCTAAAAGTGACAGTAGAGTTTGCTGCTGGAGCACACACTGACAAAAGCATGTGTAGTTTTGCTCTGTGAGGAGTTAGTTTTGATTAGTTGTTCTTGACTGAGTGGGTGTTGTCTTTCTGTTTGTGAGAAACGGTAAAGATATTTTAGTGGTTCTGGTTTTTGTACTCTACATGCCGATCGGCAAGCTAAATGAGGAGTTGCTCAAAGAGGGGTGGCAGGGTGGTAAGACATATGTTTACAAAGTATGTAAATAAAAGTAATATTTTTATTAGATTAGGAACTCAGTTTTAACAGTTATTGCATAGACAGATTTGAGATTCTTTAAGCATCAGTCCTAAGCATCTTCCAACCGGAATCTTTTTTTGTTGTTAACAGTGTGAAGTATTTAATTTGATGAATATTGTGTGTTTAAGACCAGGAGGAATCTTGAAACATGTTCAGCGTATTATCATAGACACCTTTCAAACTATTTAGTAAGTGGAGTAAGAGCTTTCCATGTTACAAAGGTACTTGTTCTATTTAAAACAGGGCAAGTATATTAATTCAGAGTTGTAATGTTCAAGACAACAAATCAGCTTCACTGAAACAAAAAACTCCCTAGAAATATTAAGCACAAACCATGAATTTGGGTTTTTTATGCTCGGTTGTAGCTGTGGTAACAAGTGCTTTGTGCTAATGGATTTTTTGCTTTACTAATTTCCTTTCTGTTATCTGACATTTACAGGAAAACTAACGATACAAAGGACAATGCACAGTGTATATCCTAGTGATATTTTGTATGCTGTGACGTGGGTTTTGCCATGGCATCTGAGACTGAAAAGGCCCGTGCTCTTCTCCAAACTTTCAGCACAGCTTCAGTAATTTCTAGTCTAGGCTTGGGAATATTCTGCTTTGTGGCAGACAGACTTCTGCAGTTTTCCTTCGTTCAGCAAAATGACTGGCTCCGAGCCTTCTCTGATAATGCAGTGCATGGCATACTGGGAATGTGGTCCTGGGCAATAGTGATTGGGCTCAGGAAGAGGAGTGACTTCACTGAGGTCACGCTGGCTGGCTTCCTCGCCTCTGTCATTGATGTGGACCACTTCTTTCTTGCTGGCTCACTGTCATTAAAGGTAAGTCAATAAATCAGTGATTGTTTATTTTCTTTCTTCATCACTGTTTACTTTATTGTTCTTCTACCATACCCTAAACAAAAGAAGTTCTAGTTACACTTTGATTAGATACATTTTTAGTAGATGTACAAGAATTATGGTTGTATGCAGTTGTTATGATTTAAAGAGCCCTAAAAATACTTTACATCTACTGTTAAGCTCTGCTTCTTACTAGGTGCTGAAAAAAAAGTTCTGAAAGCCTTTGCACACGATACCCAATGTGTGTCACATAGTTGGTTTGTTACCCAAGTTAAACAGTTAAGTGCTGCTTTGTGCACTTTGTGTATAAAGTGGATTATTCCACTTCTGTTTACAATAAGGGGCAGAAATATCTGGAAAGCAGATAATCCAGCTGCTGTTTGGTTTTATTCAGACTTACTGAGTGGTACATTTGGTTTTAGCCAGCCCTAAATAGTTCTCTCACAAACAAGCTATATGTGAGCTACCACGTTAAAAAAAAAAAAAAAAAAAGTCAAACTTGTTAATAAAAGTTAATTGGCTTCTGTCAAGGAATATATGTGGTCAAAATTCATCTTCAGAACTGCTTGTTAGGACAGAGTTTCTCAATAGGATTATTGCTACCAGGTTATGACACACTTTTTCAGTGGCTCTCCAGTGGTCTAGATGTGTCTCATCCTGATTTCCCGTTCTCACATGTATATATAGAATTGTAGAATGGTTTGGGTTGGAAGGGACCTTTAAAAGTCATCTAGAACAACTCCCCTTCAGCAAGCAGGGACATCTTTACCTAGATCAGGTTGCTCGTATGTCCTTGCCTTCTTGCCTGCTCCAAACATACATACACAGCTTTTGCTGACCACAGCAGTCTTTTCCGTATACTCTCCAAAATATTTGCACCTTCTGTAAGCTTTTTTAGCTTCTGTAAGCTCTGGCTGCGCCAGCCCGAGTTCTGTGCCAGTCACAACTCTCTTAGCGCTGCCCTCTGGATCTCACACCTCGGGCAGATGCTCCTCGCCCGCAGCTCTCCCCTGTTCCCCACAGCCAGGGCCCTGCTGCTCTGCTTGTCTCCAGGAGTGTGCTCTGCCCAGCAGCACGGGCCCTCGCAGCTTGTGCTGGCGTCGCTGGCGTACCTGTACGTACGTGCCACGTGCTCTTCCCGCCCCACAAGCCTGCACCCAAACTACACATGGGCCTGACAGGAGAAAGGGAAGATACTGTCCTTTATCCAGTCAACCAGAGCATAACTTAGTTGTTTGACCGTCTTGCCTTCTTCCTTCTCCCCCAGTTTGCTCATAACAGTGTTACACTCTTCGTGGATGGCAGAGGGAATACCATGATCTTGGTGGCCCTTCTGTGGGCTCGTTCCCCAGTAATTCCGTGTCTTTCTTGTAGTGGGGAGCCCACAACTGGACTCAGCACTCCAGAGGTGGCCTTACCAGTGCTGAGGAGAAAGAGAGGGATCACCTCCCTTGACATGCTGGCAACGCTCCTAAATGCAGCCCCGGATACTACTGGCCTTTGCCACAAGGCCGTGTTGCTGACTGATATTCAACAGGCCGTACTGCTTCAAAACTGCTTTCCAGCCAGTTGTCCTCCAGCTTGTACCAGTGCCTGGTGTTGTTCCTCCCTAGGTAGTCCCTAGTTCTCCCCTTTTTCTGTACGGTTTGCATATGGAAATACTGTAAATTTCTGAAACTATATAAAGAAGAGGCAGGTTAGTTTGATTGATTAATGGGTCCTATAATATTAACATTTTGGTGTAGCATTCAAATCTGTAACTATTCTCAAGTGTATTTTCTTAGTTTGAAATCAGTTAATGCAAGTAATGAATGGCTAATTACTAGAAAATATTGTTAAACTTTTATTGCTTTTTCTTGCATTCGTTACCGGTGCGTTTTATCAGTGATGACCACTAGATGGCACTCTCCAATAATGTCTGTTTAGAAAGATGAGTACTGTATTGCATCATGGAGCTGGGAAGTGACCTGTCTCTGCACTGCCTTCAGTGGGGGAAGGTTAAATACGCAAACACCTTCCATGATGGAGAATGTTTGTGTAGCCTATCCCTAGTATCTCGAACGAAGTAAATAATTGCAATTTCATTACTTACTTTGTTCGTGTGTTGTTTCAGTTCCCAAGCAGCTAGCAGCTGTTTTCCCAATCTCCACCCTAAAGTATTGTTGCTGACAGTTAGATCTTGTGTTCTTAATCTTTAAGGCCTCTTTGCAAAAGACAGTTGATTGGTGTGCTCGCCCCCAAAAATGTTTTTCAAATCAGAAATACAAGATATTGCAGGTAGAAGAAAAGCCCTCTAGTAGCCTAACTTACTGAGCTGTGGTAGGAAGGCAAGATGCCCAAAGGCTTTTTCATAATCGTTTGCCTATAAACTCCTCCCCTTCCATACATTAACTGGGCTAATAAACATTATTTACCTGTAAACCACATCATGTGTAGGTCTCTTGACCCTTACAGCAGTAACAGCATTACCCTTACAATCTGAGAAACTGTTGTGCGGTACAGAAAATCTCTTCTTAACTAAACAGCTCACAAAAAATATTTGAGGGGCCTGGATTTGTATTTTCTAGACCTCTTGCCGTTTTTCTCATCTGCTCTGTATTGCTTTTTACCTGAATAATCTTTAAAGGGACATGTTCCAAGCCATGTGTAGTATTTTAGGTGAAACTTCACTTGAACCTAATAGCATAGATTCCTTTTAATGTCTCATGCATACAACACTTCTTTTTAAAAAGAAAAAAAAAAACAAACCAGTTACAATCTGTAAGATTACAGTCTTCTTGCAATGACACCAGTTTTTTTTAGTTTGTTCTGTAATGCAATACCCATAAAATTTTCTCTCTGGCTCCCTAGACCTGATTTTAGTATGCACCTCTCAGTTTCGTGACATAATTTCAGTCTGTTGCCTATGTGATTTTTTACTTTGTGGGATACTTTATTTGCTGCAACCTGCCTTTTTAGATTGCAGGATTCAGAACACTGATTTGAGAGACTCCGATGTTTATTGCTTATGCAGCATATTACCAGGTCACCAATAATATGAAGAAATCTAATTAACCAACCACACCACTATTACTCAACTGTAACAATGATATTTTTCACATTGCCCTACACAATTATCTGTAAAGCTTCTCATCATCATTTAGCTCTGATGATGCGTTACTTCTTGGAAGTCACCCTCCCATGGAGCACAAGGCAGTATTGCCTCCTACCTCCAGTAGTTACCTTCACAGGACTCCAGTTGTCTACTCCTGTTCTTGCTGACACAGCTCACTACTTGGATTATTTGGCTGTTGGGCTGTTTTTCACGATGTCATCGTTATTTTTCTGGAATATTCAGGGTAAATAATCACCTGTGGTGTTTATACATGTTTATACGTTTGCCCTGATAACTATATGCATATTAAGTAACATGCGAGCTGCCCTTTTGCCCATGTTATTTTTGCAACAAGTGTAACACCTACAAAGACTTTGTTACTTAGAATTTGTAGTCCTTTCCATGCAGTATCATTTTTACTGTGTATTGGATGCAGGCAAGCGTAGAGGAGTCTAAGAATGAGTGTTTAAAGAATTTGTCTCTTTGTCTAGCTCTACAGGTGAAAGTTAACTGCAGTTTGTCATCATACTCAGCACTGCTGATAAACAAGAGCAGTGTGATGGGCTGCTCCCAGTGTCCCCCAGGGCTGTAGCCCGAGCACTTGTGTTGCAGAACAGACATGCAGAAATGGCCAGCATGCTCCTTAAGACTCACCAGCTCCTAGATGTGCAGAGAGTGCAGTCAGTGGCAAACAAAACTGTAGCAGCAAACATACACAACAGCTGGCTAATGTGCCAGAATATGAGTGAGGCAGCTCATGTTGTTTCATAAATTCCATGGTGTTAATTTGAGCATTAAAGCAGAGAGTTTGCTTGGGCTCTTCTGGGTGCACTTGATTGTCTCCTCTCCCTAGCTGCTCATTGTAGTGTGTGGGAGGGGATGGAGGAACTTCAAGATCATGCACCTGGTGGGATGGGTAGTCAAATGGAAAGGTTATTTGTGTTGCGAATAAATTCCATTTGTATCTGCAACCTGATGTCTCTCATAGTAGACGTTCCCCTAAATCTACCCAAATCGTGGCCATCTTTTCCCAGGAGGTTTAAACCAGAAAAGGCTTGCACTATTTTTTTTTTTAAGATGTGGTGATTTCTAAAGGTGAACAAATTTGCCTGTTAGGAGGAAGAGTGTAAGAGCTTCTATTGCCAAACAGAAAAATGTGTCTGTTTCTTGATCAAGTCAAGGATGTAAGTGTTCCTCTACTTAGAGAATGTGGAAGAGAAAACAGTCTATCCTTCTCTCAAAACCTGGACAACAGCATTTCAGAACCCTAATGACCGTGCTGCAGTTACAAAATAGGGTTTTCATGTGCTAAAATTGAGCACTGTGTTTTGCTGTATGAAAAAACTTGCCATTTAAAATTTGTTTGGGAAAAAAAAAAATAGAAGCCTCTCCAAAACTGGGTAAAGATTGGTACTAATAGTGATAAAATTGCATATATAATTAACATTCATGTTCTTATTTATTGTGTTACTGGTAGCACCTAACCTGCAAAGAGCAGAGGGAAAAGACTCATTTAGATTTTGCCACGGATACTTCTCAAAGTGCAGAAATAGAGACCAGTCTATAGGTTATGTGCCAAAACGCATCACCTTCCAGAGTGGCTTTTCAGAATGAAGCTAGTAGGGACCTCTTAGGCTCTTGTTGACAGTAACAAAAATCTGACTATCTTTGTAGGGTAGGTGATAATTTCACCATTAGAAGATTTTTCTACTCTAATCCAGGATCAATCTGCTTCTATGAAACAAATGAAATTGTGGAAAATACACCCTCTGCACCAAATCTAAGGATTTGGGTTAAAAGTTAGATTCTATTACACTAAAGTACATTACATTACAGTTAAAAGTTGTTGAGACAGTTTGTGAGCTTTTAAATCCTGTCACCTGATGGAGAGAGTCACAGACAAGCATGTGATGGGAAGCTAGCAGAGCAAAGCTTTCTGCAAGCCTGTTAGCACTGGCTTGGGTAGAAAGCGCAGGCCATTGTATTGCCAGGTAGTCCATAAACTTCCATTTCTCCATTCCCTGGCTAAGTCCCGCTGTCAGATACCATGTCTGTTGAATCCTGCAACAGTTACCACACCTGAAGCATTAATAGGTTACTGGCTGTTGTCTTGTAGAGAGGCCCTGTTCACTTTCTGCCTTAGATGCAGCGGCAGATGCCTTCAGCATAACAACCAGGTGCAGCTGTCACGGGCAAAGAGTACGCCTTTGGTGACTGTTACAGCCTTCCCAAATGTTCAGTAGCATCTGAACTGAGCCAACTGATACCATGTTAAAGAACTGCAGTTTGAACCCTGGGTTTCCCAAAGCAGAGATCCAGGCATAGAGTCTCATAAATAATCGAGTAGAATGGTGCAGCAGCAGGGTCAGCTCGAGCTGGGTGCCCCCCAGGGGGGACCCAGACCAGAGGAACCCCTGGGCGAGCATACCCTTACAGACTGTGTGTCCAGCCTTCACGGGAGCCTCGCACGCCCTCTGCTCCAGTGGTGACTCTGGCTGGAGGGCCTCCAGCACCTCCTGACTCCTCACGGACTCCTCCACTGTCCCCAGGCAGCAGGCTGCTCTCTGGACTAGCTGCAGCTGCTCCTGGTGGTTGTAGTCGTAAAGGCTCCTTGTCTTTTGATTTGCACTGATTCTGGGGGCCCTGTTTTAACTTAGTAGGTACAGTTAAGTAAACCCTAGTGGAAACGTACAGCTCGCAGCCTAAGACTTCAGCAGGTATAGCTGCTGGTGCTAAGAAACAGCATACTAAAGCACACAACCTTGTATCTATAAATGATTCAGCTATTTAAAAGTTTTCTATTTAAGCTAACGAACGTGTATCTCTTAACAATTACATCAGCACCTGTATAGATCTTTTAGTGATCTGCTATCATTTCTCCTGTGCTTAGAGGAGCAATAATCTACTTACTTGTTGCTTAGAAATCCAAAATACTTTTATTTAAATTTTTTTACTATCTTTGAATTTGTGGAGATAGTTCAAGCTCTTGCTAGTAAGTACATCCAGAGTATTTTCTCAACTATGTATAGTAAATTTATAACTATGATTTCTTAAAACAGCTAAATTTAATCTCACTAGCTATTCATTCACCTTAATTAAACCAAATACCAGGCTTTCTACTGAGTTAACGTTAAACAAGTTTTTGGTGTAAAAACCCCGATCGCAAATGATTCAGGTGTTGGCTTTTGAGCATGTGTTTTGCCTGTCTGTAAAGAATGCTGTGCCAAGACAATAAAAATACATGTAACCTGGATCATGTTTTTGTTCTATTGAAAATTACTGTTGTTTTAGATATTGTCCAACTAAAACAACTTCATGCGTGCTAACTTTAGCATGATAAAGGATATATTTTTGAAAATAAATGCATTTAAAGCATATTAAATATTTAAAGCACATTAAATGTTTTAAGTGTATCATATGGTAGTTTTCCTTTTAATTAGGTTGAAACTAAATACATCTGTTCAGTGCAGCAGACTGTGCAGGTTCCTGAACACCACATGACTGTATGACAAACAGCATATCTCATCCTCTCCCTCTGGCCATTGGTAGTGCTTAGTAGGATGCCTGATTTGCAATTCCACTGAGCCATTTGATAATACACCTGTAAACATCCATGAATCATTTCTTGTCATGATCATTGCTATTGCCAGTTATATTTTTCTTTTCTGCAGGCTGCTCTGACTCTTCCACGGAGGCCACTTCTTCATTGTTCTACTGTGATTCCTGTTGTGGCTCTGACATTAAAGTTTGTTATGCACCTTTTCAAGCTTAAGGATTCATGGTGCTTTCTTCCCTGGATGTTGTTCATATCCTGGACTTCTCATCATGTGCGTGATGGGATTCGTCACGGCCTCTGGATCTGCCCATTTGGGAAAACTCCTCCTTTGCCATATTGGCTTTATGTGGCAATTACAGCATCTTTACCTCATCTGTGTTCATTTGTTATGTATTTAACAGGCACTAGAGAATTAATGTCTATAAAACATGGAATCCACATTGATGTATAAGAATGATGGCTCTTTAAACATTGATTGTATTAGCACTTGAAATAAGCTGTCTGTTGGTCAATGAAGTGGTTTCCTTCTGTTTCCTACAACTTCAGAGTTAGAGGCATTTTAAGCCTGGGGAACCAGTTAAAGCTCCTGTGTCAATTCCTTGTGGTCACAGAAACCTATTTATAGATATAAAATTATTACCATTCAGTACATCCCCCTTATAAAATATGTGGTCTTCTGTAATAGTTCATGCATAGCTAGCTGATTTATAAAGTACTTAATCTGTACCTGTAGTAACTACATTCCATTTTATAGTTCTGGTGCCATTCATCTGATCCCCATACACTTTGTATTATCTAAAGGCAGAATACAAATCCATTTCATCTAGATAGCATTTGTATAGCACTTGAAAAATGTAGAGTACTATATAAATGCTAAGTATTAGTAAGGATTTAGTAGTGTATGGCACTTCTGAAAAACATCAGGTAGCCTTTTGAATTTATGTGTTTTCCTGCTGGACTGTTGGTATTCGACTGTTGGTATTCAACTGTTCTAAAAGAAATGCTGTTTGGATTTCACAGTGTGCAACTGCTCATCTGCACCTCTTTGAACACTGCTATCACACGGTGTTTCTGCTAAATTCTTTCCCTGTGTAGTTGCTTGGTACTCAATTTGCAGCTAATTACTAGGTATTATTTGTGGTTAGAAAGGAGAAGACAGTTTGGTTACAGTATTCTGTGTATTGACCAAATTGTCTTAATTTTAAAAATATACTAATTATGAATATCGTTTAATTTGAAACTAAGGAATTTTAGTAAATATTTATGAATTCTGTAAATGCAAACTTACTTATTACAGTGGAACATAAGCTTTAGTAAAGATTCAGGAAGACAGAAGAAAATAAAAATCGCTTAAAATGTTAATGTAAAGATCTTACTACTGCACTCATAAGCAGCATTTTCCATTAAGGGCAGTAGTACAGAATTGCAGCATGATGGGGATTGGAAGGCACTTCTGGAGATCGTCTCATCCAACCCCTCTGCTGAAGCAGGCTCACCTAGATCAGGATGCACAGGAATGTGTCCAGGTGGGTTTAGAAATTCTCCAGAGAAGAAGACTCCAGAACCTGTCTGGGCAGCCTGTTCCAGGGCTCTGTCAGCCTCACAGTAGAAGTAAAGTCACAGTAATGTCCTTATGTTCAGGTGGAACTTACTGTGTTACAGTTTGTGTATGTTGCCCCTTGTCCTGTCACTGGGCACCACTGAAAAGAGACTGGCCCCATCCTCTTGACACCCACCCTTCACATATCTAAAAACACTGATAAGGCTCTGTCTCGTGTTTTCTCCAGGCTATACAGGCCCATGTCTTCCAGTCTTTCCTTGCAAGATAGACGCTCCAGTCTCCTGGTGGTCTCCACAAGACTGTCTCCAGTAGTTCCCTGTCTCTCTTGAACTGGCAAGCCCAGAACTGGACACAGTACTCCAGATGTGGCCTCACCAGGGCAAAGGGGAGAGGTAGGACAGCCTCCCTCAACTATCATCTGGCCACTCTTCTTCATGTACCCCAGGATACCATTTGCCCTCTGGGCCACAAGAGCACACTGCTGGCTCATGGTTAACTTGTTGTCCACCAGGACTCCCAGGCCTTTCTCTGTGGAGCTGCTTTCCAGCAGATCAACCCCTAACCTGTACTGACACATGGTGTTATTCCTGCCCAGGAGCAGGACTCCACACTTGGCCTTGTTGAACTTCATTAGGTTCCCTGCTGCTCAGTTCTCCAGCCTGTCCAGGTCTTGCTGAATGGCAGCACAGCCTCTGGTGTGTCAGCCACTCCTCCTGGATTCCTATCATCAGCAAACCTGCTGAGGGTACACTCCATCAGTCCTTTCATCCAGGTCATTGATGAGTGTTGAAGAAGACTGGGCCCAGTACTGATTCTTGGGGAGCACCACTGGATACAGGCCTCCGACATGACTCTGCACCACTGATCACAACCCTCTGAGATCTGCCATTCAGCCAGTTGCTGCATATTGCAATGTATAATGAAATGTATATTAAAGGACAAAAAAAATTACAGAAAATACTAACTCGGGTGTCTGGCTTAGTGGGTACCAGAGACGACCTATGGCTGCAAAGTACTAAAGGCTTTGTAGCACACGAAGCTGATGATGGAAAGTGTTTCACCCTTTTACAGTGTGCCTTCCCACAAAAAGAGTAGCCTCCACCCTGTTTGTTCTTCATGTTGGAAACGTATGCTTATGGAAACTGGTCTGCCTGTAGAGTGGGCCTGTTCAGCCTTTGTTATAAAATGGATAAAAGCTTTTTTTCTTGGAAGAAGATTGGAAAAGCAGGAAATTCCTTGAAAGATTATTCTCATCCTGTAGATTTCTAGTTTTATAGTATGTAAAAGTTTCCCAGGAACAACATCAGAAATTTCTTGCTTTAGAGCCCTCAGCACGAACTGCCTTTTATCCAAAGGCAGGATGATCTAGTAGAGGAGGAGCATTGCTCTTTCATTTACTTCTAACCTGTATTTTCAACTATAACTGTGAAAAGCCAGTAATGAATATATTCTGTGGAAGAAGGAACACTGAAGTCCATGTCAAAAATTTTATGTATTCCATGATATCAGTATAATTTTGTGCTTTACCCATATTTGTGCATTATCCAGATTTGTTGCAAAGGGAAATGTATATAGGGACAAACTGGAGAATGATGCTTTCTCACTTTTACATTGTAGCTGTAGCATTTTTGGTAACTGTATGTCCACCAACAGTCCTTAAGATTGACACTGTGCTGTTCTGGCTGTGTTTTAACTATATGTCCACCAGCAGTCCTTAAGATTGTTACTGTAAGAATCAGTTAATGGGCACACCTTCAGTTGTTTAAAACCAAGTATTTTTATTCTCTGTTATTTCTAGCAATTTTCTGTGTTGGTGGTTTTTGGTTTGGTTTGGTTTTGTTGTTTGGTTTTGGTTTGGTTTTTTGGTTTTTTTTCCTTACCATAATTTTCCACTGTATTTCACTGTTTTATTGTTCTGATCATGTTCTACCACAGTTCCACATCCACCACCAGTTGTACTACCACAGTAGGTGACCACCACTTACAAAATATAAGGAAAGCAGTGAGCACTTGTGGCATGATTTCTTTCTCTCTCTGCCCCC